ATCTTTCTTTTCAATTCTTTCGTATCTTAAACTTAATTTCTCATATTATCGTTTCTAGTTTCAATCAGCTAGATCTACCCGTTTACGAAACGTACGATAAACTTCGCACGAATTTATTGAAAGCGATTCACGAATGCAGCGAAGGATTCGGTTTCGCCTAAATTTCTGCAAAGTTGAGCAAATTTTGCGTGATTTTGCACGAAAATCTAAGAGCGAAGACAAAACAAAAAGATATAAGAAATATAGCAGAAAAAACAACCAAATGAACAACAAAGGAGAAAAATGATTAAAATATTGATAAAACAATTGTAAAAGTATCGATTGATCTTCGCTCAAGATTTAGTATATAAATTTTTACTCCGCTATATACATATTAAAACTGAAGGCGTATGTATATACGTAAAATTAACGATGTAATTACTGATGATTCGTCGCTAGAGTTTATTTTGTTGAATGATCTTTAAAAAAAAAAACGAGGGAGATGCAGAGCTTAATGATAATTCCTGATGGAAAGGAAGACTTAAAAAATCGGACACTTTAGTTAAGGATCTTAACAGTTAAGAGATAACGAATAAGAATTCAATGTAATTCGTCGTTAGAGAAAAAATGAAAAAGAGGATGCAGCGGGATGAAATAAATATGTAATATAATTGTGACTCAAAGCGGCTCTACTCTGAAGGCAGAATTCAAACATATGGGTAGAGAAGAAAAAAAGGCAGAAACGATTTGTTGCCATGACGAAGAAAGGCAAATGGAAAAGTGATGGAGAAGTGTGCCTGTATTTCGAGTACGTGTTTATTTCATATTATGCGTAAAAGAAAGCTGCCAGGAACCTAGAATCTGTACGTGAGGCAAGAAAAAAAAAAAAAAGAAAAAGAAAGAAAAAGAAATGTATTGTATGTAACAGTGTGAGTGGGTATGTATGTAAAATGAACGAATGCGAAACAGAGAGTAATATTCAAGAAACCAATTAGACACGAGCCTAAATATGAGGAAAAGAAGAATATTTCACGATGTTATATCCTTAACGCCCGCAAGAAAAAAAAACGTATGGTTGTACACTATTAGTATTAATAATTATATTATCTAATTCTTAATCGATAGTAATAATCATTAATTAATATCGTTTTAATATTAATCATTTGAGAAATGTGATGTTAAAAAGGAAGTCATGTAACATTCTTTTCCTTTTTCTTTACTTTTCCTCTGGATATATAGCGCAAAATCACGTCCAATTCGCCCAACTCTCCAAACTTTTAATATCCTTGAACTTCCTTTAATCAGTTTCAATTTCCAAACGTTTCTTCTCTGGGGAAACGTGTAACGGGACTCTCGCAATCGAGCAGATGTTAATTTTTGTAAACACATCGAATAGGACAATATACGTTGAAGAAATACATAGATCCATCGGACTCTTTTTCGCGACATTGTTAGGGAGTTATTGCTTAGGAATTCGCAAAATAAACTAAATGTTGTATTTCTTATAAAAACGATTGTCTCTTTTTTTTTTAAATTACACAAGAAGACACCTTTGATAGCATAGCATTTTAATAAACGTTAAATCACATAATTATACATATATAAAGTATAAAGGTTACCATAAGAGTCACGTTGATCGAAAATGAAATAGTATGGGAAATCCATATGAGTGAGATGTTTTCTCTTTTACGATATTTCTTATTTAATCACCTTTTTTCCTTTTTAAAGTAGAAAATGATATACAAACAATAGAAGTATAAATTTACTTTTTGCTATTAACAATAGGAAGAACATATTTAAAAGCCAACAATCTTTTTGTCCAATTTTTAATTTCAACAAATGTTTTTAAAATTGATAATGCTAATTCATTTAAAGAATTAAAATGCATTGATCATTTTTATTTCAAGAAACACTAACTAAACAAAAAAAATAGCTTAATTTTTCGTATCAGTTTCAAGATATTATAAGAGTTTTTATCGGAATTATTTTTTTACATTTCTATACTCGTGAAAAAAGAACAAGACTCTTCTCGTATGTATATACATCTTTGTACAATGAGCTTGTGTGAAAAATAGTCAAATATATATATGATGAAAAATGTAAACTATAATTGTATTGTATATCGAAACTATTTACAATGTATTATAATGAAATATCATTGAAAAACTTGTATAACTAAAAAGAAGATAGGAAAACTATAATTTATTAATGTAAACAGTATATTCTGTAATTATAAAATCTATTATCTTAAAACATCACAGAAATCAGAAACCTTTTAGCCTGATTGTATAGTGTTCCTCTTATGGCGACGCTTTAGGTTTTAGTTCTTCAAAGCAGGGTCTAAGGAATATAGAGTTCTTCTTTGCTGGATTATAGTATTCATGACCCTGAAATAGAATAAGTATTTTCATTTTAAGTATAAAATAAGAAGATATTCGTTTGATTATGTAAAGTTTAATTGTATAGAAAGATTAATAACTACTTTTGACCAATCGTATGACACCGCATATGCAAATATTTGTCCATTGTGATTGAAACAACATCGAGTAATTGGTTGCTCCATAGGTTCTGAAGACTTCAGTTTAGTTCTAGCATCTTTGTCCCAAAATCCAAACGTACCGTCACCTCCGACGGTTGCAATAGTACCATGAACCGGATGAAATGCGATATCATTTACCTAAGCGTTAAAAAATTCATATTTAGTTATTAAAATGAATATTAAAAAATTCAAGAAATAAATCGACCGAATTCATACTGACTGCATAGATATCTTGGTATCCATTAGGGGTTCCATTTGTTCTATGACATTTGAAAGTGAAGTTTTCTTTTGAACCTAGATTCAGATGATGTATGGCTACACGACCCTCTGTACTGCCAATTGCAAAACCAGTTGGAACTTTCTTTTTATCTCTAAAAATCGCGATACATCGATACTGATATTTTAAGTTTAGTTCTACCGTCTTATACTCTCGAGGACTGCCTTCCAATTGATAAACTATTAATCCACGTCCAGCAGTTCCTACTGCTGCCATTGGATAATCCTATAACAATTATTAAATATTAGTTATAATTTCCAAAGAATTATCATTGCAAATATAATAAAGAATAAATATTGAATATATTTACAACATCAGCACAGTAACATCTTTCAATTAAATTTATAGTCATTGCTGGCTTAGGACTTCGCAGATCCCAAAACTGTAAAGTATTCCATTATCAATATATATAAATCATATATAATAATAAATTCTTAATAATAGAAATATAAACATACTCTTAAGGTTTTATCCCAAGAACCAGTCATAAGACATGAATATGTGGTTGCTTTAATCCAATGACAAGTTTTAATAGGTGCATCGTGTTGTGCTACTTGAATACTCTGATTGGAAGCTAAATCCCAACATTTTGCTGTTTTGTCGCAACCTGCCATGAATACTTTCGTTCCATCCTGTTTCAAAGGGAATGAACTTTGAATTGAATAACCATTAATCATTAGAAAACATTAATCTTTAAAGATATCATAAACTAAAAAAAGTTAAATTTAATATAAAAAATTTAATAAACTTACATCACTCCAACAAACATCAAGAACTGGAGCAGCCATGGATTGCATTGATTTAGGAACAGTTTTACCAGATTGCTCGACTTCCCAACAGCGAACGTTGCAATCCCAAGAGCCAGCAACGAGGAAATTTTGTGGAATACAAGCAGGACTAAATGCGAGACTGGAGACAGAATCATCAGGTGGGGAGACAACCTCATAATCCTGCATTGGGTTAGAAGTAGTCGATGTGCCAGTTTGTAGTCCTCCGCTTTGATTAAACATCTTTAATCTACTTTACACTGCCAATTGTTATTTACCGCAGAATAATATATTATATGTTAATTATAACAATATATTGTATAACAAATTATAGACGATAAACAGGAAAGTACTCTCACGTATGTTATTTATCCGATAAGCAATACAAAAAATAATGCCATGATTTAAGGAATACATAGAACGAATACTCGACGTAAATTTTGAGACCAAAGAATTAGAAATAACAAGAATAGATGGCGAAGTGAATTATACAGGGAGGTAGCAAAAAAAAATGTTCCCAATTATGGTGGTTCACGAAAGTATTGGAATGTTCGAATTCATAAATCTTCTTATGAACATGAAATGTAAATAACAATTATTAGACTGCGGATATTTACACAAATCTATATTTTTACAAACATAATTAAAGAAATAAGATCTAGACAAAAATTTGTTTTACGCACTAATATTATAAAGAATACTGTATTTTGAGTATTTCATATATTTTTGTATATTCCCTGCATTTTTCTATTTTAATTTTCTATAAATGCATAAAAATCGGCAGTCTAATAATAAATTTCATAAAAATTCCAATATCTAGAAACATATCTAGAAATTTGCACATACTGTAATTTAAATCCGGTAATTTCCGGGGATATCGAGTATCTCACCATAATTGTGACAATTATGTAGTATTTCAAAAGTATTTCAAAAAATGCCTGTGGTATCACTTATTCATACAGTAGCCGAGGTTTAAGAAATATATTATACTATGGAGGAAGTCCTTTTAGAATGCTTTAAGAATAATCCAAAATACCACTTTATTTCCAATTCAAGTTACTGTTAATATAAATATATACATGCATCATAATGGTATTAATGATCCAAAATCCAGAGAGCAGCAAAGCTTGACAAATACTGTAGATGAAGAGCAATTAAACACTTAAGAAGGAAGATTGTATGGATTCTATACATTTATGAGCTTAAGAAACAATAATTATCTTCATGATGCTACATTTATATATTAATTTTTTAATAATAATAAATTATAAACATAAATAAGAAAAGAATAAATAAATGGTGATGATGATTCTAAACATTATTTTTTGTTCATTACAATAATATATTACATACTTATTTAGTTGATAAGATAATAGTATTAATCATACCAATGGACCCAAATTTATCTAATTTTGGTCCTCAATAATAAAAAATGGAATAAATTTCAAAATTATAAATAAGTAATGTTTATTGTGTACTTGTGTCACCACATCTACTACATAGTATTTACACTTATTACAATTATGATAATATTTATTATCATTTTCAATGTATATACATACAGAATGCTTTTGGGATCTTTTTTCTAATTTTGTTACACTATTTTTGTAACTTCTTTCCCAGCCCTCCTTATGGCATTTAGTATATGCTCATAAAAAATTGATCTATAATTTTCAAAATCATGAAGATCAATTAATTTGCTTCTCCATAATTTGAAAAGTATCTGGGTTTAAGATGACTCAACCATCAAAGTGTGGGAGTTAAATGTACACATATTAAATAAATTTATCTCTTGTTTTCTTTCAATGTTATATTGCGTATAAAATTTTAATGGAATCATTCAATGAAAGCTTACAATAAATTAATGAATATGAAACTATATTCCATTTGATTTCTGAGTAAATGTTTCATCATTCTTTAATATCGTCATAATACTATTTATAATTCTCTTTTAAATTTATATATTATCTCTATTAAATTAGAGTTACAATCATATAAATATTTATGACATAAAAAAATAATTTGTATCTCGTATGAAAAATAAATATTTTCCACAAAAAGAATTTTATCTACCAACATATTCCACAGCGTAATAATCACAAACGACTAAAGTTTCATAATCTATGTAACGTTCTTCATGGCCGTGTACGCCTATATAACATATTTGATGATTCGGCTGTATTTTTCCTATGTGATATACACCTTCGTGTAACACTCTGCCTATAAAAAGAGCGTGGCCGTCTTCGGTTTCACCGGCAGGAAGAGCGTACAAAGGAACACTTCCTTCCCATGATTTTACCCAATTCACATCTTTGCCGCATAATATTTGAAAATCTTTTTTATCGTGAGAGGCTCCACCCCATGGGATTGTACATACATTATTTCTGATACCACCAGGTGTGATCGAATCTCTGTGATGAACACGGCCTATATACAAACCATCTTCTGAGGCCATTACAGCATTTTGTGGAAGACCATCTGACTCGTTACAATCTACCCAACAGTAGCAAGTGTCTACCAATTGTTGCCTAACAACTAGAGATGTACATGGTGATTCTAAAATGGATATATAGAAATGTCTAATAATGTTTAATAATAGTAATGCTTAATAACATGTTTATTAATTTGAAATGTTATTTGATTAATTTGTAAGAGATACCTTCTATCAAAAATTCACCAGTTGCACCCCACGCTGTGCTAACCCCTATATAATTTATAACAAACGGATTTCTGTCTTTGTATGCTAGAAAAACATCACCATTTTGTCGACCAATCTTTAAAGTTCCATCACAACACCATCTAAGAATTAAATTGTTGTTTCCTTTCGGGTTTGATTAAAGTGATATTTTTATATAAGAGTAGTTTTAGTTTCTTACTGAATCCAAATATTGAACATATACTGAGCATTTAATATGTTTCTTGTTTCTGCTTCTGCCACATCTTGTTCTTGGTTATTCCTTTTTATGGCTGACATTGTGTTTCTCCATCCTCCAATAATAATCTATCAATATAGAATATATTTATATTTATGTTATGTGCAAGTGTTTGGTAAATATTATATTTATTTTTAGCAAGATATAGACATACCTCATACACATTTGAGTCTCCACCCAAATGTGTACGTAAGGAAATTCTTGCATCGTGAGCAGCTTGCATACTCAGCCTGAGGCGAGATTTTGTGATGGGAAAATAACGATATTCTATGCTATCAGGTGTAATAATCCTAACTGAAAAAATATTAATTTTTTAATATATTTGGACTATGTTATTTAAAATATTATTACATTACTTTGTAGTATCAAAAGAAGCACAATTTTTTTATACAATTTATACAATGACTCATATTAATATGTAGATATAACAATGTTTGAAGAATTGTTGCTCTATATATTTATTTATGATAGTATTATTGAACTGATTGTTTTTTGTATACTAAAACATTTATATTCCAGTTAGTAGAAACATAAAATTGGTTTATTTAATGCATAGTTTTTTACATAGTAGACAATAAAATAATTAATGATAAAATTTAGAATTGTAAAAATTTCGGATAATAGCACATTAAATAAAATTTATATATTTATACATATATTGTAGATGTGTATATGTTTCATATAAAGTTCACGTAACTTACACATTGTTCAACTTGTGCGATTTTATAGATCGCTATTATTTAATTTATCAGTTTATAAAATAAATGTTATAGTATACAAAAAAGCAAATAGTTCTATAACTACTGTAAACAAATATATAAAGCAATAATTTCCCAAAAAATCGTGATGTTTCAATATCAATAAAAATCATTATATATATTATTTAACCTATTGTGCTTAAATATTTTGTAATAAAAAAGTATGTTATACCAAATTTACGTGCTGACATTTCTGATCTTGCTAATACGTGTACTCACTAAAAGTCATGGTTGTTGGTTCGACTTTAAAACAACTTTTTATTATCAGCTGATAACGCAATTGACAAAGCAATTACAGTTAACGATAGCAAGGTAGAAATATACGGTCGAATTTGGATTCTCCCAATTGATGGTGATGGTTATGTTTTCTGTATAATCTCATCGCAAAGAGTGCAATTTGTCACATTGCAATCAAAGTTATCTACATAAGTAAGATACTAAGTATAGATGCGTTGCATAGGATCGAACTTCTCTTTAATTGGCACTTTCCCAGGATATTGAGCGCATGCGCGGCATATAGAACAATTTTTATTGGCGTAGATTCAATTTTGATAGCGGGAAAAAGAGAGAACGAAATTTTCATCGTGATTAGTTTAGTATTACTTTGGTATTTCATTTAGTAGTTCATTACACCAATTTATTTACTCTTATTGATTATATTGCATTCGATATAATAATATATTTTTCAATTGGAAAAATTAACAAAATTTAATAAATTATTACTTCGTAATATTACGAATATTACGAATATTACGAGGTAATAATTTTCTTATTAAATTTTGAAATTACGAATATTATCTCGTGCAGTTTTTAATTTACTTCTCTATGTTAAATTCATATTATGATTTGTGACTTATAAGATGAATAATTTTCTAACAACGAAGTCTAGGATTATAATATTATGATAAAGTAACTAGAATAGGTCCTTGCACAGAATCTTGTCATCGTATTCAGGATATGCCAAGCATGTGAAGATGCGTGAAGCTGAACCGCAACCGGTATTACTACATATCTTTGCAACTTTCGCACCACAAATATTTCTGAGTTCGAAAGTGTAGCGCACATGTTCATACCTTATCATAACTTATTTATATTCTTTCTACTTTAATCTTATCTTCACAATTAACGAGAAAATCTTTCTATTTTCTAATTGAAGAAAAATATTACATAACTAAATTATTTATGAAATTTGATTTATTTTTATTACTAAATATAACTAAAAATATGATGATCTAAATTATAAAATTTTCTATTTTTTGCATTAAAAATTTTTTTTAAAGTTTTTCGATAAAAAGATAAAATTTGTGTTTTCTACGAAGATGGTTCGATTTTGCTCGATGTTTAGTTCAGACTTACTGCCCGAGAATATACATATAATAAATATGCAATACGACATACATGTGTTTCGTGCGGCTTATAAAAGGCAGAATGTTCTACATATATGCAACGACATCAAAGAAGCGTCCGCTTGGAATTAGTTTACCGTCCACTTTCCATTTTCATTTTACTTTCTTCATATTGTACTAATGTCTCGCGTTGTTACGCGTGTACGACTTTTACCGTTTCACGGTCATTTGATGGCCTCTTAGAAATGGACAATTTATACTCTGATCTGGAGATGCCTTTTTCGCGGCGAATAGAAAACTGTGTCAACAGGCCGCTTACGTGTTACAATTATAATTTAATTTCGATAAAGAAAAGTCATTTACTAAAACAGAGGATGCTATTGCATCAAAGAATATCGTTTTTGAAATCTATTTCTGTTATTTTAAATATAGATTTCCTATAAAAAAAAAAAGTGAAGAAATGAAATATATCAACTGTAATTGTTTGTAGCGACTGGATCAACCTGTTTGATTATTCGTGATTTATGAACAGGGATAAAGTATCCTAGGTCATTGTCGTTAATATGTTGGAATTCAGCTGACCGACGCACATGGTCAATGTACGTTTCAAATGAATACACTTGTAAACGCGTGTGCAGAAAGTAGAAAGCATTGCAAAAGATAATGACAAGGATGTAGCAGTGTCATTCCGGTTTTCATGTCAGAACGCAGCATGCGATCGTCCCATTGCGATCTACATATGCTGTCTCATAACTTTGTGTCACGATCTTCAATTTTTATCAGAAATTTTCCTTTTTTGACATTCGATATTAAAACAACTCTGAAACGATAGAATAAAAGATTTTAATGATGTGCGATGAAATATTAATAAGAAAAGTACTTTGAATTTCTTACCTTAAAAAAGAATAGCTACTTTAATCTCAAGGAAGGTACTTACTCAGATGATTAAATACTATACTGCGATGTATAGTTTATTAAAAAAAAGCACATTTTCCTTTATATTATATTAGTGCGTCATCAGATCTTAATGAACGCAGTTATAAATATTGATGAAACGTTGGAATACATTTCCAAAGCATCCGGAAACGGATATTGCACGCAAGGTCTACAAAAAGATCGCACATATCAAGTTACATAACAAAATACAAAAATCGAAATGTATCTCTTTTTTATCTTATAAATTTGAATTCTGCTACATACTTTAGGTTATTTTTGACTGGGCTATGTTTTGCTATTGCTAAACAATTTCCTGATTAACTCGCGGGAAATTTAAATTAAAAAATTATATTTCAAAGTCCGGTTTTATTTTTATGTATATCATGGGGCTCCATTAATAAATTTTTCAGATTGAAGATTAAGGAAATTATGGAAGAGTTCAATTTTGTGCAGAAGTTTTCCTTAAAAGTATTAAAAATCTTTTTGTTCATTGAAATAGGAGTGAAGTTGGACCATGAAAATTGGAAAGGCGTAGCGGAATTAAACGTAGCTTTTATCGTTTCCAATTGTTTTCAACATTTTACTATCAACTGCTACTGTATAATGTTTGCTAATTGATGTAAATTATTCACGCATGGTAGAAAGCGCGTCTGTCGAAGCATGTTTGCATAATAATTGATGTAGTGAGAGAATCAATCTCCTATTGCCTATTAGAGTGGGATCAAAATGATCTATGCCGTTTCCTTTCCTCAACGTGACTTGTTTTCTATTTATCTGCAGTTTTAATACCTGAACCATTTTACTTGCATACACTTGATTAAGAAAATACGTACAACTACATTAATTTTTTCCTTAAGGCATCTAAATATTAATTTACGCACTTTTTATGATCAAATATTAATATTGAGGTTAACTGTTGTATTATAATAATGTTGTTTAAACAAAATACGATCACGGATTGATATTATCGAATTGGACTTACTATGATCTTTGAAGGGAACTTCATGAAACTTTCTTTCGTACGAAAGGCGATTGGTATTCAAGATACTCGTGCGTTTTATGCGGATGTAAACCGAGCAAAGCGTTCTTTCTGATGTTTACGAATTTGATGCCCGGAGAAAGATAGGTATTCCTGAGTATCATTATCCATGACTATGTTTTGAAATACAGGCACGTCCGTTTTTCAGTAGATTCTCTCCCATCTTGCTACTATAAACATTGCGTGTGAACAACTCGACTACTTACTATTATAACTTTATGTAATCGTTATTCAACTTCATCTATGTTCGTTAACCCTCTAGCCGCGAACAACGCCGAAATCATATTCTTATTTATTAATAGACTATGGATTTTTATACAAATTCATTAATTTGAGAATATAATTGTAATGTTAAAGCTTCGGTAGAAAATTGTTTCATTTATCAAATGTTATAGAAATCATTATACTTTGGACATTTATAAAATAAATATCCGCAATCTATTTACTAAGCACTATCTTATTTATATCTCGGTATGTTTATGGAAAAAATAATTATAATATTATATTTAGATTATAATCCATAATTAAATATTAATTCAAACATGCAAATTTAATTAAATCATAATTAATAATAGGACAATATTGAATAGTTAATATGAGAGCGCCGAATTCAAAATTCCGAAAAAAGAGTTACAGGATAAATAGTACACATTTTACGTGGTAATTGGACCTGTAATGAGTAACATTCTGGTGGAAATTATGGTACTTGTAATTCAAAAGAAGACGTAACGCGGTTTCGTTTCTCACTGTAAGAAAGTTATCCATCTACCGTAACAAATATCTGTTAACCTTGGCAATGATAATGCATAGAAATCGGGGCTACATTTTTACGAAAGCTCGCAATCCACTGTCTGCGTCGAAGCCTATCGCTATTAAGCTGATTGTTGAGAAGACACGAAAACTACAGTTACATTCAAACTAAACAATCTATTAATAGTATCTCTGATTAAATTCTACTCTTTATGTGATCACTTATACATAGAGAAGGTATTTATACGTTTTTTAGTAAATTTTTACCTTTTTACACTCTATGGAAGAGATATTAAGATGAATATCTTGTTTTTACATTTCCAGGAAAATTGCATATTATTATAATATATTAAAAATGATTAATATCAATAATTGTAATAAAATTCACTTCTGAAAGAACTTTGGTTTAAAGAAATACTTGAAAGCAAGAACTTGATTAAAAACAGATATGAAATATAAAGTTATTCTATCTTACTGTATTTTGAAGATGATTAATATCAATAATTATAATAAAATTCACTCTTAAAAACGAATTCGTTCAGAAGAATGCTTAAAAACATAAATATTTAAGAGCGAGAAGTAAAAAGATAGATACATACTGCAAATCTAAAGCTAATCTATTTTAACTTACTGTATCTCTCTCTCTCTCTCTGCATACATTCACATATTATCTATAATTACTAAGATCCATCCCAATGATATACCTTGTAAAAAGAGCCAGAGCCATTACTATATTTTGAGTAACCAAGCAGATGTTTGGGGAAAGGGAGACTTTTCTATATGTATTAAAAAGTCTAATTACGTTAGGTAGGTCATGCTCCTCATAGTTCACTGAATAGTTAGTTGCGCGCGGACTGACCCATTGCTTTCCCCGTAAAAGTGAAGAGTTAAATCAGGTTGACTCTTTCTCCCTGCTCTGTATGGTCGGATACCAACCAATGTCCTATCAGTATGTGCACATCAAGATCGCTTTTACCTTTTTGTGAACGAGGAGGGATTCCTAGGAGTATAAAACGGTAAGGAATCGATTCGCGTGTCAGTATGTGTGTAGTTTCAATTTGTCCTAAGAGATTCAGTCACCAGTTAACGTAGTTGAAACCTTTTTGGACTTCTTCTCTTCTTTTGTCATGGCGAATTTCATTTCGCTCGTGAGTACTGAATAAGTTGTAAAATAATATCTGTGAAATCGTGAAATTTCATTTTGAATGTAATTCAATAAAATTTTTAATGCCATAATCGAAATCGTAATATTACTTCTCTGAGTTCTGTTCAAAATTTAAATTTTTATAGCAGGTGAAATGGTTGATTAACTTTTTGGATTAACTTTGTAATTGTATATCTAACTATTTATTGGTAGAGATGTTTGTTAGTGTTTATGCTTTAAGTAGAAGATTGTTACCCGTTGGAGGATGAGTATTAATTTATGGTGAAATTGTTCCACTTTTAGAGTGCAGTAGTCCTCGGTTGCATCCTGCTGACCCACGCGGAACCACCGGCATCGGT